GGACCCACCCCCACATGGGTGACATACTCCCTCTCTCGCTCGCGCTGGCTCGTGCTCGCGCTTACTCTCTCCTGACTCTGGTTCATCCACATCCCGCCAATATACATATATCTCTATATGTACCCCCAGGGCTCATTTACTTAAATTGATATTGCTATCTATATATTTATATATATATATATATATATATATATATATATATATATATATATATATATATATATATATATATATATATATATATATATATATATATATATATATATATATAAGCATATATCATAACATTTATATTTTTTATATAATATATATTATACATTATATATTTCGGAAATAAAATCGGATCGAAAATCGGAATTTTCAATAATTTTATATGTAATTCCAATGCCGTTTAAAAAATAATCGAAAAAATCGAAAATCCGAATGAAAAAACGAGTTCCAAATTCAGATATTTTCGAATCGAAATTGGCGGAACTTGGAAATTCCGTTCCCAATTTTCACCCTTAATCTGCATGTATATATTGCTTAACATTGGTTTGTATTATGTTGTATACTCCGGTAAATTTTACCGCATGTGTAATTATTTTACACGTTTTATTTACATTCACATGTGTGTACGACTGTGATGATTATGTATAAATTTACGATATGCCCCTCTTTGTATTTACTTCATCTGATGTAACATCTATAACAATATTTAAATTGCATAATTAGTCTCAAATCTATATAGAGAACACTAGTTAATGAGCTCGTGTAGTCTCTTTCAATGTAGCTAAGTCACCATTAGATTTGAATTGTACACTCCACAGTTGAACTAGTAATCTTCTAAAAATTGATATATCGATCGTTAATTTAATGTTGTGATTGTGATTTTGATATTATTGGTAATTATTTCTAGAAGACCGAGACAAATGTCAAAACAAACGACCATTTTATAACCGTTGCTTAGAAATTTCGCAATTTAAGGAAATAGGGAATTTACGCGGCTCTACTACAATTCGCCACGTCTAACGATTTTTGTAACACGTTTCGTAACTCAACAATATATTTCTCATTTAGTCCTTCAATTTAAAAAAAATATATAGATTACATATATATTAGGGGAAAGTACAACCACCCCTAAAGTATGGTCAATTTACAAAAAAATCCCTCTTGTTTGGATAATTACATATACCCCCTCAACTATGATTTTTTTTCTTACACCGCCACCCTTATGGTGTCAAATTATAAATAATCATCTAAATTCCGTGGAGTGTGCTCTAGTCTATACTCGTTTTGTGTAAAAGTACAGTTTCTGATACACCACAATCTGATATATACAAGCCAAAAAACACATATTATGATCATCTTGCTTCAAAACGTGGATTTACAATGGGATAAAACGGGTACAAAAGTGATAATATTCCATATAATCTCGAAGGTTCCACTAAATTTGAAACCGCAATATATGCATAGGCCCGATTCCGCTACACCACATCAGAATCAAATAATATGGTAAATTACAATTGCCTCCTCAAGCAATGTCTATTTATTACAAAAAAAAAAACCTATTTTTTAATAATTACATCCAATTCCCAAATTTGTAGATTTTTAACTCTTTTATAGCAGGGTGCATGTGAGAAACTTTCAAACTATAGGGTGTCACGATGTCATTACTGACCAGAGAGGGTCTCCCGAACTACACTTTACTCTTTAG